CCACCACAATCCGCACTACCCTCTAGCACTGATGATGTTGCCTACTTTGGCTAATGAAACATCTGCAGGAAAATAACCAAACTCAGAGAGTATCAAGGATTCCATATTTCAACCCAGAGCTTAAAATGCTAACCTAAAACGGATTTGTCTTTTCAGGATCAGCTTCTGTGAAATATAGTGCTGGAATCATTGCTGGGGCTTTGCTTGGATCCCTCACTTGGACCAGCAGTCTCTCCCTCCTGCCCCTGCTCTTCGGTAAGTAGGTCCACTCCTTGGGGTGAGGTGGGGGTGAGATGGGGTGAGGTGAAAGGCAGGAATCACGGATTCAATCAATCAGAATAGAGCTGGAAGGGACCTTGCTTTCCCTCGTTCCTTCTTTTTTTCCTTTCTCTCCTTCCTTCCATCCTTCCTTGCTCCCTCCCTCCCTTCCTCCTTCTCCTTCTCCTCCTTCCCTTCCTTCCTTCCTTCCTTCCTTCCTTCCTTCCTTCCCTTTTCTTCTCCCTTCTTCCATTTGTCTCCCTTCTTCCTCCCTTCCCCTTTTCTCCTTCCTTCCTTCCTTCCTTCCTTCCTTCCTTCCTTCTTTTTGCTTTCCCTCATTTGTTCTTTTTTCCTTTCTCTCCTTCCTTTCTTCTTTCCTCCCTCCCCCTCCTCCTCCTCCTTCCTTCCTTCCTTCCTTCCCCTTTTCTTCTCCCTTCTTCCCTTTGTTTCCTCCCTCCCTCCCTTCTTCCTAAGAAGTATCAGAGGAGGAAATTGAGTTTGTCCATCCTTCTTTTGCTTTCTTTTAGAACAACAGTAACAAATAGTCATTTTCAGCTTTTTCTGAGGCTAAAATGACCTGGAAAAACTCAAAATGGAAGGGGGGAAAACATGGACCGGTGAAATAGGAATTGCACTTTCTTATTCTTTTTCCATAGGCGTGCTCTCATCATTTTTCCCCGAATGCTGAATTTGGAAGAGTCCCTTCCTTTGTGAAAAGTAAGTGGATGGGGTCTCGGAAGGGTTAGAATTGAGCTGATTTTGCCCAGAAAGCAAAATTTGAGGAGAGTCCCTCAAACCAAGACAGAGATGAAAAACAACTTCATGTCCTTCAGAAGAAGTTCACATTCTAAGAATTTCTTCTCCGAGGGTGGAGTAGAGGTTAAGATATTGGATGAAGAGCAAAGAGACCCAGATTCCTCCCACAACTATGGAAGTTTCTCAAATGATTCTGGATCGCTCTCTCTTTGGGATAATAGGATACAGTTTTGGGGATCTCCAACTGAGCTAAGCCATTGACTTCCCTTTCTTGAAAGAGATAATAATAACAATAATAATAATAACAATAATAACAACAACAACAACAATGACAACAACAACAACAACAACAACAACAACAACAACAATAATAATAATAATAATAATAATAATAATAATAATAATAATAATAATAATAATAATAATAAAGTTGGAAGGAATCTTGGAGGTCATCTAGTCCAACCCCCTGCTCAGGCAGGAAACCCTATACCATTTCAGACAAATGGCTGTCCAGTCTCTTCTTAAAAACTTCCAGTGTTGGAGCATTCACAACTTCTGGAGGCAGGTTGTTCCACTAGTTAATTGTTCTCACTGTCAGGAAGTTTCTTCTTAGTTCTAGGTTGCTTCTCTCCTTGACTAGTTTCCATCCGTTGCTTCTTGTCCTGCCTTCAGGCGCTTTGGAAAGATCATTCTCTTAAAGTTATAATTATATTTCACAGGTAACGTCCAGATAGGTGAGGTATCCAGCCAAATTGTACCATTGCAAAGTTCAACTGGGCCGGATAAAGTTCATTCTTGGAGTGTTCACAACCTCAAACTAGACTGGAAAATAAACACAAAAAAACTGGAAGCAGAGTTATTAATAAGGGTGACAAAAAAGAGTCAAGATGGCAGCAGTAACCACACAACTGAAGCCTCCTCTTTTTTGCAAACTTGCTCACGATAAACGTAAAAAGAGAAAGAGTTTTGAGGGCACAACCAACGCTGGTTGAATATTTTTTTTACCCCTATCCCAGGGGTAGGCAACCTTGGCTCTTTTATGACTCATGGACTTCAACTCCCAGAATTCCTGAGCCAGCATGGCGCAGCTTGGAAACCTCTCTCTTTCCCCTCAGCATGGCTGGCTCAGGAATTCTGGGAGTTGAAGTCCACCAGTCATAAAAGAGCCAAGGTTGCCTACCTCTGGCCTAGGCCTGGGCCACTTTATGACTCGTGGACTTCAACTCCCAGAATTCCTGAGCCAGCCATGCTGAGGGGAAAGAGAGAGGTTTCCAAGCTGAGCCATGCTGGCTCAGGAATTCTGGGAGTTGAAGTCCACGAGTCATGAAGGGGGCCATAGTTTCCCCATGCTGGCTCAGGAATTCTGGGAGTTGAAGTCCACCAGTCATAAAAGAGCCAAGGTTGCCTATCCCTGCCCTATCCCATAAATGTTCTTGTCTAGAAGAAGACAACAGCCCCATCCACTTCTTATCATTGCTCGGGAGAATACAGATAGTCCTCTTTTAGTGACCACAGTTGGGTCTGGCCACTCGGCTGTTAACAATTGCTAAATGAAGCCGCAACTCTCTTTACAATCTTACCTGACTTTTTATTTGTTTTGGAGCTGTGATTCTCACCCTCAACCACTTTAAGATGGAGGGACTTCAAACTTCCAAAAGCCTACCAGGGAATTATGGGAGTTGGAATCCCTACATCTTAAAAGTTGCCACGATTGAGTAACACTCCTTTACAAACCTGCGGTTGTAAATGTGAGAATTGCTTACAAGGTTACTTTTTCATCGCTGCTGGGATTGTGAACGTTTGCTAAACAAGGCGGTCACTAAATGAGGACTAACTACAGGGCTTTTTTTTCTCATAGAACGCCCAGAACGGAGTTCCGGCACCTTTTTTGGATGGAACCTTGTAGGGTAGGCAAGGCGGGTTGTATGACATGTATGAGTTCCGGCACCTTTTTTCTTTTTTAGAAAAAAAGCACTGACTGACTATATATATGTTTCTAAGGTTACTAGGAGTTTGTGACCTCAAGTCTTAATAAGTGGCTGAGCAGATCCTGGAATAGCCAACTTGCAAAAATGAAAAATCTTCGGAGCAAATAGCAACCTCTAAACATTGTAAAGAAACAAGCCAGCAGCAAAAACCTCCCTGATCACTTTAACAGAAGCTTCCTTTGCAGACAACCACAGAAAATTATCTTTGCATTCTGATGACTGCAAATCCGTTTCCTTTTTTCAAGCCAAGGAATTGTTGAAAAAGTTACAACTGGGCTGTTCTGATCTGCTGTTCAGTAACGGTCAATTATTGGCACCGATGTAAAAAATAAAATAAAATACAGAGCTTTTGTTTTGGGGATGTGTGTGGGATTGATTTTGCAATCCGCCTTCCTATTTTTCGCAATGAAAAATAACACACGTTCTTATTAATTACAATGCTAATTTTAATTGCAAACGCTTTTCAAACGCTTTTTATCTTAATTTATCCATAATAAAATAGTATTATTTTTTTTGTTCGGCTGAGGCTGAGAACGCTGTGCAATATTGTCTAATTAATATTTTGCTTTCTCCTCTAAATCTTTCTGCAGATATTTGCAGAGGAGAGACACACAAGTTATCCTGTGTCTGCGTGTGTAACACTGAACAGCTCTGTGCTTGGATGTTAAGCTTGATCCGATGCTGATTTCTTTTGAAGCTCAACTTTGATCAAAATTGTATATTAACTTACTCTGTTTCTTTTTATATCAGCAAAATCTAAGTCATTCCAAACTTTAAAGCTTGAGAATGTTGCAAACCAGCAAAACATTGAATAAATCTATCTACGTAGTCGCCAGGAGACAAAAAATGACTTGATGGCACCTAATCAAAATATCATAAAATTTTGTATTAAGAACCTGGGGCTTTTTTAGGAAGTCGATGCATGTTATCCAATTTGGAACAAAAGAGAAAAATCTTTGGATGCCCTTTATACATTCTAACATGGCTCAAAATAAAATGTGGTTTTTCACTTCAATTAAGCAATTGCCTACGAAGACTTTTTTGGGTCTTTTAATGAACATTTCTTTATTGGACTGCATATGTTTCATAGGGGAAGGTACTTGAGAGATTATGAAACTACAATCCCAGCAACCTTGCAACATAATTTACAACTGCTGGAAATTCAACTCCCAACGCCTCCTTTTTTTAACCCTTTTACTACAGGCAGTCCTTGACTTACAGCAGCTCATTTAGTGACCGTTTGAAGTTACAACAGCACTGAAAAAAGTGACTTATGACTATCTTTCACACTTAACGACCCCAGTGGTCATGTGATCAAAACTCAGACACTTGGCAACTGACTCGTATTTATGACGGTTGCAATGTCCCGGGATCATGTGATCCCTATTTTGCGACCTTCTGACAAGCAAAGTCAATGGGGGAAGCCAGATTCACTTAACAACCGTGCTATTAGCTTAACAACTGCAGTGATTCGCTTAACAGCTGTGGCAAGAAAGGTTGTAAAATGGAGCAAAGCTCACTGAACGAATGTCTTACTTAGCAACAGAGGTTTTGGGCTCGAATGAGGTCGTAATAGTAGTAGTAGTAGTAGTAGTAGTAGTAGTAGTAGTAGTAGTAGTAGTAGTAATAAAGTTGGAAGGGACCTTGGAGGTCATCTAGTCCAACCCCCTGCTCAGGCAAGAAACCCTATACCATTTCGGACAAATGGCTGTCCAGTCTCTTCTTAAAAACTTCCAGTGTTGGAGCATTCGCAGCTTCTGGAGGCAGGATGTTCCACTTGTTAATTGTTCTAACTGTCAGGAAGTTTCTCCTTAGTTCTAGGTTGCTTCTCTCCTTGATTAGTTTCCATCCGTTGCTTCTTGTTTTGCCTTTAGGCGCTTTGGAGAATAGCTTGACTCCCTCTTCTTTGGGGCAGCCCCTGAGATATTGAAAGACTGCTATCATGTCCCCCCTCATCCTTCTCTTCATTAAACTACACATACCCAATTCCAGCAGCCTTTCCTTATATGTTTTAGCCTCCAGACCTCTAATCATCTTTGTTGCTCTTCTCTGCACTCTTTCTAGAGTCTCAGCATCTTTTTTACATCGTGGTGACCAAAACCGGATGCCGTATTCCAAGTGTGGCCTTACCAAGGCCTTGTAAAGTGGTATTAATACTTCACGTGATCTTGATTCTATCCCTCTGTTAATGCAACCCAGCACTGTATTGGCCTTTTTGGCAGCTGTCAAAGTTAAGGACAACCTGTGTTATCTTTTTTTGCAACATTTCTGACCCTGTCCGGACAACGAGAGAGGGAATAGTATAAACACCCAACACATATTTTTTTTTCTTTCCAGTCAGCAATCAGTTGAAGTTTGAGCTGCAACATGCCAGTTTTAGGAACTGTCTAGATAATTTCTTCATAAGAGCCTTGCACATTACAAGCATTGGCCCACAAAACTGCCAGTGAGTTCACCAATGCTGGTGGTTAATAACCATGCCGTGCTTTGTGGTTACCAGAACGTTTTGCAACGTTTTTGCAAATACCACAGTGCAAGAAAGGAATAGTCAAGTTTCAAGACTGCAAGCCGACTATTCCGGTGCTACAGAGAAAAAGGTGCTTGCACAAAACAGCTCGTAAGATTTTGGTGAGCTTTTGGTTGCAAAAACCGAGTTGGGAGTGAAATTTTTGCTGTTCTCAGAAGGATCAAATTCCACCATTTCCCACGATTTGTGCCCAGGCTGAGAATCCAATAAAACGTGCTAGACGCTCAGTGGAGGTCCAAGAAAATATATTTATTCACTCCAAACTTGTCAAGTCAGATTGGGTGGGGATCCTGTTGGTCTGTTCCTCTGTCTCCTTTCTGACAAGCTTCTAGTTTAAAGATTTGGCCAAACATTATCCACAGAAGAGAATATTCATGCTTATAATAACAATAGTTTGTGTGTTATTAATATGAACATTTACCTTCTGTTCAATCCTTTCTTCTTTCCAGTCTGTTAAATCAGATTTGTCCTTATCTGTGGTTAAACACAATGTATATATAAATGGGCACTTTATTTTCCTTATACATATTTATTTTATTACTTATTACATGTGCTTGCCGCACGTCTCGCCATAAGGCGACTCTTCCTACACGTATGTCTTCCTTCCTATTTATTTCCCACCGTTATTATTTTTATACGTAACTCAAGGTGACAAACATATCTAGCACTCCTTCCTCCTCCTATTTTCCCCATAAAAACCCTGTGAGGTGGGTTGGGCTGAGAGAGTGACACGAGACCAAAGTCACCCAGCCAGCTTTCATGCCTAAGGCAGGACTAGAACTCACGGTCTCCTGGTGATTGGCCCAAAGTCACCCAGCCGGCTTTCATGCCTAAGGTGGGACTAGAACTCACCGTCTCCTGGTGATTCGCCCAAAGTTACTCAGCCAGCCTAAGGTGAGACTAGAACTCGCGGTCTCTTGGTGATTGACAACCATTTGTCTGAAATGGTATAGAGCTTCCTGCTCGAGCAGGGGGCTGGACTAGAAGACCTCCAAGGTCCCTTCCACCTATGTCATTTTATTATTCGGCTGCCAAGGTTTCTTTTTTGTGCTGGTCCTCGGCTGTGCCTTTAAGAACAGCCGACCTAGTTAATTGATGGAGACGAAAAGAGTTTCCTCCCTTTTTTCAGGTTGAGAAAAAACAACAACTGCACCCACATAATTTCTGCCTGTTGACAACCTGTTCTTAAAGGCCTCTGAGAACTGGCAAGGCGCAGCATGCATTTTAATTATGCGGCTCACACTGGATGCGTTCCAGTTTTGTGGACAAGCCCAGGAGAGCAAAGGGCCGGGAAGGGATGCTTTCGGGAAGTTTTCTAATTGCGAGCGCTGATCATTAGCCAACCCACTAAAAAAAATGCAGAAGTCAACTCTCTGGAGTGTGCAAACCGAATGTAGAGAAAAGGTTCAACTGGAATCAAGATTAAGAAGAAGTCAGAATATGGGAGTTCGATCTGAAGGGAGGAACAGCTAACAGAATAACAGAGTGGGGAGGGACCTCGGAGGTCTTCTAGTCCAACCCCCTGCTCAGGCAGAAAACCCTATAGTAGGGGTAGGCCACCATGGCTCTTTTATGACTCGTGGACTTCAACTCCCAGAATTCCTGAGCCAGCCATGCTGAGGGGAAAGGGAGAGGTTTCCAAGCTGAGCCAGGCTGGCTCAGGAATTCTGGGAGTTGAAGTCCACGAGTCATGAAGGGGCCATAGTTTCCCCCATGCTGGCTCAGGAATTCTGGGAGTTGAAGTCCACGAGTCATAAAAGGGCCAAGTTTGAAGACCCCTGGTTTAAATATTTAAATGTTTTTTCCTCACGGTCATGTAATCAAAATTCAGGCATTTGGGCAGGGGTAGGCCACCTTGGCTCTTTTATGACTGGTGGACTTCAACTCCCAGAATTCCTGAGCCAGCCATGCTGAGGGGAAAGGGAGAGGTTTCCATGCTGAGTTATGCTGGCTCAGGAATTCTGGGAGTTGAAGTCCACAAGTCATAAAAGAGCCAAGGTTGCCTACCCCTGTGCCTATACCACTTCAGACAAATGGTTGTCCAATCTGTTCTTAGAAACCTCCAATGTTGGAGCACCCACAACTTCTGGAGGGAAGTTGTTCCACTGATTAATTGTTCTCACTGTCAGGAAATTTCTCCTTGTGGATGAGTTTCCCTCCGTTGCTTCTTGTCCTGCCTTCTGGTGCTTTGGCGAATAGGTGGACTCCCTTCTTCTTTGTGGCAGCCCCTCAAATACTGGAACGCTGCTATCATGTCACCCCTCATCCTCTTTTCTCCGCTTCAGTCATTCAATCAGCCAGCCAGCCAGAATTGTGTTCTTCTAAAGAACACACTTTAATTCTCCCTCCCTCTCTCCTTCTCTTTCCTTTTTCTTTTTTTCCACATCAATCATTCCACCTTCAAAGAAGCCAGGCAGATGTGACTGCAGCGTAGGGTCAAGA